GCGCATTTAATCGATCATAACACACTTTTTTGTTAATGGAAACAATATTCAAACATCCATCAAAGGAACATTTATAAACAATTGTATTTTTTAAGTATGTTTTTAATACATAGTTCAGCATATTCTAATATGCTTAGTGGCTATAACAATAGAATAGGAATGGAATATTCTGATATCGATGTATGAAGAGCATATTACAAAGCACACAGCCGTTCATAATTTATTTAATAAATTATTTAGTAATATCAATACATATTTATATAACTATACAAACACAAATAAATAATGATTAATAATGACACAAATAATGATTAATACAGAATAATATATATTGGATACATGTTTATATGTATGTATGTATATACATACATACACACACACACACACACGTGTATATATATATATATATATATATATATATATATATATATATATATATGTTTTTCAGCCGACGAGTCCAAAATCTGATGTGAGACCCATCCGTGCTGCAGTGAATCCGTCTCTCTTTATATATATCTCTCTCTTCTTCCTCACATCGTGTCTTTAGGAAACTTTCAAAACAAAAACGGAAAATTTAGGATGTATCTTACTTTGACAGAGTGAAAGAATATAAATAATAGTCTTTACCACCTGTGTAAACTTTGCTGGTGAATGTTATAACACATAATATAAGTTTTATAATATGTGTTATATTGTTTCATTTCTAATATAGGCTCTTGTGTCAGATAATATAAGTCAATGTTAGAGAATAATTAATTTTTTTTAGATTTACGGAATCTCAGTTAGCCTTCATAGCGGGGCTGAACCCGTATTACGAATGTAATTGGCCCTTACCAGTTCTAACCATATGCTATAAATTAGCATGTTAAGATGAGTATTTTTGTTTCCTTCCAGTTCATGTGAAATTCAATTTGGTAAGTGAAATCAGGACTCTTCTGTTGTTAATGTGGATGGTGATATTTTTGATGAACTCCTGAGGTCTGCTACAGTATCTTTCAAAGTAGTCACTAAGCACTTTGGTAAGATTTAAAAGCATTAAAACAAGTGTTCCTTCTAATGCATTTTAAAAATATATAAATCAAAAGTTAATTTTAAGTTGCTTACCAATGAAGCTTCTAAACTTTATACAGTGGGCGTCATTGACGAGAGTGAGGTAACAAACGCTTCCTTCAGTTCTGAAGATGGGGTCAGTTGAGTCTCCAAGCTCAGCGAGCTCATTTTCTACAGTGATCACAGAGAACACCAAAGCACAGAGAAGAAGACTGGCTGAAGGACCTTCTGACAGTAAGATGGCAAAAGATGTGAGTTGTGTCAAGGTGGGAAATAGAATGATGACCCATAGGATGACATGTGAAATCTGATGCAGATTGTCTATGTAGCTCTGCACCAAAAACCAGGGAGAAGATGTATTAAAAGAATACAACAAGACCAAAAGTCTCTCTGATCTAACAAGAAGGAAACTTGTCAATGATTGAGGGACCAGAATTTAACCTTGATATTTTTGACTGGTAGTACTTTTAAAAAGTTACATGTATGAAATCCATAGAAATGTTAGAATTATCTGAGAAAACATAATTATTAATGTAATGATTATTGAAGGCTGCACAGTGGCGCAGTTGGTAGAGCTGTTGCCTTGCAGCAAGAAGGTTCTGGGTTCAATTCCCAGCCCCAGTCTTTCTGCATGGAGTTTGCATGTTCTCTCTGTGCATGCGTGGGTTTTCTCCGGGTACTCCAGTTTCCTCCCACAGTCTAAAAACATGTCAGGTTAATTGGCCTCTCCAAATTGCCCCTACGTGTGAGTATGCATGGTTGCTTGTCTCTGACCCCGCCTCTCACCCGGAACGTTAGCTGGAGATAGTCACCAGCAACCCTCCTGACCCCACTAAGGGACAAGGGTGTAAAGAAAATGGATGGCTGATTATTCCAATAATTAGTAATTACTGAGAATTAATTTTCTATTCATGACCTTTGGTTAATTGGTGTGAGTTTGTTTAACCCCTATGTGAAACTGGAATATTCTTATTGAATTGGTTTTTTTAGGGTTTTTTTAGGGGGGGAGGGATCATGTTAATTTTATGACAAAATGGAACAGAAAAATTGGTCATGGGAACATAATGGCACAAAGAATTGTATGGGCCCATTAGAAGCGATCTTTTCACTTAAACTCACAACAGTTTCCTTGCAAGTCGCAAGCACCTGGGGACACTATTGCCATAGATTCTGTTTATGTGAACATTTGGTACAGATAGTGTTGAGACCCATGATCATCTGAATGCTTTCTGAATAGATTGTGGATGATGTTTGCTGTTATTTTTTGTGTCTGATCTGATATATTATCAGACTTGTGACAGGCAGTTTTCAGCTGATAATGATAAAAGAACACATATTGTGCCCCACTGCTGTTTTGTATGAGCTGGCCATTGAAGGTCTGTAATACTGAAATGGGTTTAATAGAAGTTAAACTTTCAATTTCTGTGTATTGTTTTGAATATTTTTCCATTGGATTTGGTTGATATTGACACCTTGTGGGGTCAATTATTTACCTTTTAAACGCATATTATGTTTTGTGATCAACACTACACTGGTGTTACTTTTAACATTATATTTTAACACCAACATCGTTGTAATGTTAATGTGACACTCTGTATTGTCGAATGTTAACATTGTCTGGTGTTAATTTAACAAAAAAATGGATGTCAATCTTTTAACACTTTCAAAAGTGTTTAACACCAGCTGACTTGGACACATATAGACACTTTGTTGGTGTTAAAATTAACACTGTGGGTGTTAATTCAACACTGGCATTTTTACTGTGTACTTTGTGTTCTTGGTTGGCATTTGGAAGCCATTTCTCTTTTTTTTTTGTTTAAATATCTTTCAATTTTTAACATGGAAAACGAACCACCATCACAAAATAACAGAGAAACAAAATTTGTACGGATAGAGTTATTTTTTTAGTAGTGATTAAATACTTTTTCTCCATTTAAATCATCATCCTTCTCCAGATTGCAGCTGTCCCGGGTTCAATCTCCAGACATGAGCCAATTACAGCATGTCTTCCCCCATTTCTGTCTGCCAGCAACTCATGAATACAAGCCTCGAATGCCACAAAAACTCTAACAAAAAAAAAAAAGAGCCAAAACTAAATCATTATCCTGTTTTGTGCAGACAGAACTGGAAAAAAAAAAAGCCAAAACCTGTCACGGTGGCCAGATTTGTTGGTGAGAAAACAACATGGCGTGATATACAGAGAGTAAATCCTCTGCCGTTAACTGGTTGCCAGTCTTCCAGGATGACCTGAATTCCCTTCCTACAGCTGCCACCAGGAATGGCGCCTTTCTGTTGACAAGGGGAATTTCTGTCCAACATTTTCAGGTGAAACTTTGCCGAGGGAACAGATGTGTGCCCTGGTTTGGAAATTAATGTCTCTGCGCTCTCAGATTGACCTGACAGTGCAGGTCTAGATTTTAATGTGACTCGCCCCATCTTTGGATACTTAGAACCACCTGTCATTTTTAGTAGTACGGATTGTATTTTGTGTAGTTTTTTTTTTTATTACTGGTGTAATGCTGTCGTTGTTTGGTTACGCCGCATTATAAAAAACAAAGCAAACTTTTAATAAGCCTTGCAGATTGAGCACAAAAACAAGGAACTCTGCACAACTTGTTTTTATTTTCTCATGGGAAAATCAATGATTACAATAGTTAATACACATTTAAATAAAAACATAATAATACTGGTAGCTAACTTTATGCCATAAGGTGCTGTTATTAGAGCAGTGCTTACAAACTCACTAAAATGAACCTGACTGGAGTTCATAAGTCAAATGAAGAAGGTTAAATGATGACAATAATAATCAATTTATTAATCTTACATAGTTATTAGTACTGTTTATTCCATTGTCTTTTTTGTTGTTCAATCTGATTTCTATGGTCAATTTTATTACCAGTAGGCCAACAGATTTATTAGTAAATATCTCTATATGTGATGAAATCCTTCAAAAGGAGTTCTGTTGGAGACGGCGCTTTGTAAAAATGTCAATCTTTTCACCTTTCGTCACATTACAATCACAAACTTGAATTTAATTTAAATAAGTATAGAAGTGTAGGAGACATTGTTTGGTGAAAAGTCTGAAAAATGTGCCTTGCATATGTATTCAGCCCCCAGTAATACGATACCTCTATATAAAATCCTTTTGTGTCAGAGCTCGCCTAATTCACAGCAAGTCCACCTGCTGGGTGCCCTCATGAACTTTTCCACCCACATGTGAAACATTGTGCGACACTGCAGATAAGCCCCCAAAACACCATGACCACAGTGAAACATGGTGGTGGAAGCAGCATGCTGAGGTCTTTAAAACTGGTCTGTCACCTAAAAGTCCAATATAATTCATGGAAAAGCCGTGGTTGTAACTTGACAAAATCAGAAAAAATTCAAGGGGTCTGAGTACATTTACCAGGCAGAAGCTAACAAGCTGTTTAGATTTGTGTGTTAACAAGGAACTGATGCAGCATCATATCTGGAAGCGGTTGAACTTCATCGTGAAGCTGAAGTTTTGGATCGACATGCTCGAGCAAGAGTGACTGATATCTGGCAGGAGAGCTAATCTTCGTGTTGTTTACTTGGACTGAACCACTGGGACGACGCTAGGCCCAAATCTGCAAGACAGAGGGAAATCATTGTGTCACACCATGACTAACGCTGTCTGTAAAAACAAGTCGCAGTGTTGTGATGCAAACCGAATATATATATATATATATATATATATATAT